ATCAGCGAAATGGAGGACGGAAATAAAATGGAGAAAAATGCAGACGGCACAAAAGTATTGAAATGTTTATTCCAGAACTGCCGGCGGTGAGCAATTGATTGCTGTACTGGGAAGCTATCATCATTGCTCTGGGGCTGGTCCTGAGAGATTCCACAATCCGCCTGCTTTCCTAGAAGTCCTGAGGAACGCGAGCTACCCCAATCTAGATAAGAGTCTTGGAGAGGCTCTGGACTAAGGGTGCTCAGGTGGTCCTGCACTTTTAGGGCCAGCAGGGCGGGTCTTAAGGACAGAGTAAGCTTTCATTCTTACTCCTTGATTTCACTTCGCCAGAAATTCTCTACGCTTTCTTTTTAGGGGAGTGAAGTATGCAGAGTGAGGCTGCAGAGGGGCTACGATAGAAACACAGCGTTAGAGGTGGAAGAAACTTCAGTGTTCTTCTGCCCAAAGTCGGACAGTCAATAAATATTTATTAAGCACCTACTATGTGCCAGGCATTGTGCCAAGTGCCGGGGATACAAAGGAAGGCAAAAGAGAGTCCCTTTTCTTAAGGTGATCAAAGTCTAATGAGGGAGACAGCATGCAAAAGACTACGTACAAACGAAAGACACGATAAATGGGAGATAATGATCAGACGGGGTATTAGAATTAAGGAGGATCTGGCAGCTAGGTGGCGCAATGGAATAGAGCACGGGCCCTGAAGTCAGGAGGACCAGAGTTCAAATCCGACCTCAGACCAAACACTTAGCACTTATTAGCTGTGTGACGCTGGGCAAGGCCCTTACCCCCAGTTGCCCCCCCCAAAAAAAATTAAGGAGAATCAGGAAAGGCTTCCTGTAGAAAGTGGAATTTTAGAGGGGACCTGAGAGAAGCCAGGAGGCATAGATGAGAAAAGAAAGCAACAACCCAGGAAAATGGCTGGAGTCTGGAAGGCCTTATCTGAAGAACACCAAGGAGGCTAGTGTCGCTGGATTACATCATATGATCTTGAAATTGGAGTTGGAAGGGACATTAGAGATCTTTTACTCTGATTCCCTTATTTTCTAGAATCTAGATGAAGTTTGCCTAAGGTCGCACAGGCAGGAAGTTTCAGAATCTGTATTTATTGAGGTCTTTTGACTCCAAATCTAGTGCTCTTTTCCCTATACCATGACTCTATTATAAATGGGGTAACCGAGGCCCACAGAGAGGTTGTGACTTGACCAAATTCTTACAAGCTGGTTGTGGCAGCATTGGAACTAACTTCCAGGTCTTTTGACAGTCAGTCCTGGGCTCTTTAAAAAACAAGGCTCCCTTCTTTTATAGATTGTAAGCTCTTTGAGGGGACGGTTAGGTGGCTCAGTATAGAGAGGATGTGGCCTGGAGTTAGGGAGACTCATCTTTCTGAGTTCAAATCTGGCCTCAGACACTGTGTGACCTTGAGCAGTCACTTTACCCTGCTGGCTTCAGTTTTCTTATCTGTCAAATGAGTTGGAGAAGGAAATGGCAAATCACTCCAGTATCTTCACCAAGAAAACCCCAAAGCCAGTCATGAAGAGTTGGACATGACTGAACAATATCAAAGTGGTTGGGGATAAAGAAAGGCTTCCTTTCTGTATTACAGCCACCCATGAAGTAGATCTTCTTTCATGCAACAGCAGTGCAGTAAATATTGTTGGTGAATTATGAATAGAGGAAGAAATAGTCACTTATGTGTCCTTATTCGAGGTCCCCTTCATAAGTGACTCTTTGCCACCAAATCTAACAAGTTTGAAATTCTACCATTAAATGCTTGTGCTTCTGTATCTTGAAATATTTTGAGACTTTTGTGAATACCCTACTAAAATACAGTTATCTCTTGGAGAGATAAACTTTCCCTAACACTTTACTTAAATAGCTGACAAGAGAAGGGGTAATGAAAATGTATGAGGGGAGAAACCCTCGAAGACAATGCTGCCTAGTAGCCCTGCCCAAGGATATACCAGATTTTTGCATGTCCCAGCCTTGCTCCTTTTTGGTACTTAGAATCCAAGAAAAAAAAAAGCTGGATGGGATTTTAGATGAATTATTTCACTCAAATCATTTATTGGGTAGATTGGATATCTGAGTTACAAAGAAGTGGAGGGACTTCCAGTAACACAGGCCAGTAGTGGCAGATCTGGACGTGGAACCCAGGCCTTCTGATGACAAACCCAGGGCTCTTTCCGCTGTATTGAAGGCCCATGGATGGTTGTTTCCACCAGATAGCCCATGTAACACAGAATGGCTCCTTTTGCCTTCCATCCCTATTTATTAACAGGTTATGCCTATCTAAGTACAAATTATCTCAGAGAAAAAAGAGAAATTTCAAGGGCAAAATGGTATAGCGGGGAGAACACTGGTGTTCCTACTAGAAGACCTAGGTTTAAGCAGGCTACTTATTGCCCGTATGACCTAGGGCAATAAAGCTTGTTTCTTCATCTGCAAAATGGACAAAACCTTTCTTGTCCTTCTTATATAATGTTGGTAGGCTCTAATGAGAGAATGTATGTGAAAGTCCTTGCAAAGTGCTATATACAACTGGAGAGGTATCATTGTGGGGTTTCCACATAGCCAGATGTTTGGCTTCATAGAAGCAAAATTATCTGGATTATCATCTTTTTCACTGTTTTGCTTCATCTAGGCATTGCCTAAGCAATTGCAGAGGAGTAGACCCAAGTTTAGAAGTAAGTGGTATGGAGCAGGTTTCTCTGGGTTGCGTTGGGAAAATCATTTAGTTTGGGGACTCTTAATCTTTTTTTATGTGGCATCATGGTCCTTGTAAATAGCCTGGTGAAGTCTAGAGACTTCTCAGAATGATGCTTTAAAATCCATAAAGTAAAATACAGAAGATTGCAAAGGAAACATCATTCCAAAATAAAAATGTAATTTTTGTAAATGACATCCAAGTTCACATATGCCCTGAAATCTATCCAGGGGCCAGACTTCAGGATAAGAATCCCCCAGTATGGATAAACTTGGGTAGCTTGGTGCACAGTGGCACATATCCCCCACTAGAGAGAAAACTTGCCTGGGTGCCTTCGAATATTCCACCCTTCACCAGAGGATGAAAGCTTGTCTGAGAGCAGGAGTTTGTGGAGTTAAGATGGGCTCTCCAGGGACTTTGTGGAGGTCTTCTTCATTGTAAGATAAATAATGTATGATAAGGGTTAGGAAGAATGGTGATTGATCCAGCTGAATAGAAATAAGGGAAGGATGAGTTGTTAACTGGATGCTTGGGGCTCCTCCTTGTGTGCTGGATCACACTTATCTGGGTTTCAAAAACCTGAGATCAGGGGACTGGTGTGCAAGAGCTTTTGAAATCCTAATAGAAACATTCTGTTGCAACTGCAAATAACAAAGCTCATCTTCTCATCCCCGAAATACAACACACTAATTTTCATCCATTAATTGACATAGGTTTTCCCAGAGAGCTGACTTCTGGGGCTTCCCTGGGGATTTATGATCCAGGAAATTCATTTTAAATTGGTCCCCCGATGACCTGATTCGGTCATTGTGTACAATCTCTTTAGGGGTTTGGGAAAGAGCAAACAGCCCTCTCTAATGCTTCTTGGATTTTCTTTCCAAAGGTGGGTGGGATTCACCTGTTGTCAGTCTTGGGTGCCCGAGTTCAGTGGGGAAATTCTTGGACTAAAAGTGACCAGTTAGCTGGATCTTGAGATCTACTGTTATTATTAAATTTGGGCAGCACTTTCCCAAGGACCTGGAGGCCGTGGGAAATGTCTCCCTCTCTGCAAAACTACTTGGATACAAAGCACACTGGTTCTCTATTTTTGTCTCCTGAGATCCTATTACCGTGGCTTTGCACATAATAGAAGCTTAAATGTTCGCTCTATTAACTGAAATTAGTTGAATGAAGACAAAAAAGATGGATTGCTTGATGTTTGAAGCCACCTGTAATATTCGAACTGGGAATCATCCATTGACTGGCAGTACACCCAACCATTCCTGGGAGGTAAATAAGTCTATGGGAGCTGAACTAAAGGGAATTTAAGGTGTATGTTGGAAATCTTCTGGTCTCTTTTTTTTGTGTAGGAAGTCCCGCCCACTATGCTGAGAGTTTTAGCCTGTTCTTATATGCATTGTGCTGAAAGCAAACTCGATGGCCTGTTTGTCTGAGATCAGCCTGTAGTCTCCAAGGCCCAGGTGGAGAGATCTCGCTTCTGGGAGGCTGGCTCCGCGTTTACTCAGTTCCTGTCTCTTTAAATCCAAGTGGAGAGAAGGGGCTGAGAGCGCTTTGAATCTGGCCCTCTCCAGGGGCAGGATTTTCATAAACATTAGGTTGGCAGGGAGAACAGGGAATGGGGGTCTTATTTCCAGGCCCGACAGAAAACGGGGAGCCCCCTCTTCCTGGACAGGGCTTCCCACCCTCCTCCCCTCCTGAACCTCAGGCACGCCAGAGTGGAGCCCGAGGCGCCGGAGCGCATCCTAGCCAGCGAGAGGAGCTGGGACGGTAGGCAGGCAGGCCACGCGTGAGCTTTGCAGCTGGGGCTAGGCGAGGCGGGGCGGGGCAGAGCGGGGGTGGGGGGAGAGGGAGGCAACTCCCACACTCGCCGTCTTGTAGGGTGAGGGGCGTGAGTGTCCGTGTGTGCCTGTGTGTGTTTGTGTGCGCGCGCCCGTGTGCCAGTGGGGCTGCGTGTGCGTGTGTGCGCCCTCGCGGGAGTGTGAGTGCGTGAGAGCGCGCGGCGGGCAGGCGGGCGGGCAGAGGGAGAGACACCCAGCCACCGACTGCTGCATTGCTGCTGAGCCACGACTCGCTCAGCCCCCAATATGCGGCCGCTGCTGCCGCTGCCGCCACCGCCGCCGCCGCCGCCGCTGCTGCCGCTGAGGGGCCCGCGATCTGGTGGAGATCAGCAGCAGAGCGGCGGCTGCAGGTGGAGAGCAGCGCGGTGGGCTTGAGCCGGGTCGGGCTCTCTTCTCCCTCCCCTCCCCTTCTTCCCCTCCCCCTCCCCTCGTTCCCCGGCCCGCCCCCCCCCTCCCGCCCGCCTGTCCGCCAGCCGCGGGTCCGCGCCAGGGATTGGCACCGGCTTCTCCCCGACCCTTATTTATGATGCTTTTTTTCTTGGGTGCTCTGCCTGTGATGGTTTTTAGGCGGAGCCGTTTGCACCAAAAACTGTAGCAACTGCTCCCCCTTCTCTCCCCCTCCCCCCATCCCTTCCCTTCCCCTTCCCTCCTCCCCTCCGATACTGGATCAACAGCAGAAGAGGGACGGGTCGGGATCCGCGCAGATAGACAATGAATAATCGCAAGAAATTGACTTGAATTCCCCTGAAGCCGGCGCCGCCGCAGCTGAGGACGGCTCTCTCTTTTCTTTTTTCTTCTGTTTTCTTCTTTAAAGACAGAGGGACCACAAACAAGCAGTTTGTTTCTTGTATCTTGTTCCTTTTACCCCCTTTTTCTTTTTCGCCTTTTGGGGGATTTGCAAACCGAATTACATGCATGTCCAGTGGGGGTAGGTTTAATTTTGATGATGGAGGGTCCTACTGTGGAGGCTGGGAGGACGGCAAAGCGCACGGCCATGGGATCTGCACTGGCCCCAAGGGCCAAGGAGAATACACCGGCTCCTGGAGTCACGGCTTCGAGGTGCTGGGGGTCTACACCTGGCCCAGCGGCAACACGTACCAGGGCACCTGGGCGCAGGGCAAGCGTCATGGCATCGGCCTGGAGAGCAAGGGGAAGTGGCTGTACAAGGGAGAGTGGACTCACGGCTTTAAGGGACGCTACGGGGTCCGGGAGTGTACCGGTAACGGAGCCAAGTACGAAGGTACCTGGAGCAACGGATTACAGGACGGCTATGGGACGGAGACCTACTCGGATGGAGGTGGGTGCTGCGCCAGCCCGGACTGCTCGAGGAGTGGGAGGGCGGTGGGCGAGAAGCGAGGCGGGAGTGTCGCTCTCTACACAGCCGAGAGCCTTCTCCATGTCTCTTTCCTCCTATTCGCTTTATTTGACTATGTTTTTCTGGCTTCTAGTTGCTAGTTGGGCTGCTGGTGCCCGCTGGCTTGGCGGCGGTGCTGTAGAGGCCCAAAGACAGCCCAGGGAGGCTCCTGGCCCTCTCGCCACAGGTTGCTTGCTCCATATGTTCAGTGGGGGTGCAGTGCAGTGGTGGTGCCTGGTGCCCTCTCGGACTGTGTCCAAGCCAAGGGGAGGGGGGTGGTTTTCCCCTCGTGGCTTAGAATTGATTGGAGAGGGAGAGATGCCGGTGTTGACTGCACCATCATAAACTAGAAGGCAAAGTGTCGGTCTAAGAGGAAGGTGGGGAGGGCCTTCCAGGAGAACTACCCGGCCTGGGGTTTTGTCATGTGCTTTCTCAAGTTAGGGGGCCTACTGGTGGGTCACGCTGGCCCCTGAGTGGCTGTGCTGGGGCCCTTGGTCCTTTTCCCTTCTCCACCAGCCTCCTTATCCCTTTGGAATAGGCTTCCTGGTTTCAGGCCTGAGCTTAGCATCCCAATATCTGGGCTCAGGGATTGGATTCTTGGTTTCATGTGCTTCCAAGGGCCTTCCCAGTTTGGAATCTAACCTGAAAAAATGTCACTGAGAAATTTAGAATGCTGTAGTGGAGGTGGGGGGGGGAGGGAAGGGAGCAACCCAAGAAAATAACCCAGGCCAATAAACTTCTAGGGGGTTGGACCTAGGCTAATATTGTCAGACCAGGCAGCCTGTGAGGCCCATCTGTTTCTTGGATGCTACTGGAGCTGTGATTGAAGTATTGGCATTAATTTTCACCAGGAGTTTAGGGAATCTTTTCTTGATCTTATTTCTAAGATGTTACTAGAGTCAGGATCAGTTCTAAGAGCTCCAATCCATGTAGTTTCAAGGCTGTTAAGGGCTGTTGGTGACTGTGATACTGCGTACACTCTTTGAATGTCTCCATGCTCTGACGCTCAATATTCTCCATAAGTAATATCTGAAGTATTTGATTGTTTGGGACAAAACAAATCTTGGAAGTGAGTTTCCAACCCCTGTCTTAGTTTTGAGCTAAGATGAGGTACAGGTAGTGGTTTGGTGGAAGCAGCATGTTTATTTTATAGGTGGGAAAAGAACAAATGCAGTGATTTTATGTTTCTTTCTTGGAGGGGTGGGGGTGGATCAGGGAAACACACTCAGATTCTTGCTTTGGTCCCTTTTGTTCTGGCCACATGAAAAAAGCTTTCAGCACCTACTTGATAGTCACATATACAGAGGTGAGGTAGGGCCGGGAAGTGATGATTATTTTGGCTTATGCAACCAAAAGGAAGGGCTCATTATTAAACAAAGAGGAGGAGTCTGGTGCACTTAATTATATAATTCTCCTGCCTATCAAAACCCTGCCAAGCCCTAATCACAGACTTTGCTTTTGGGGGTGGGTTTAAAAAAAAAAACAAAGATGGGCCAAGCTGTGCCCCACTGTGGGATTCTGAAGGGAAAGGAGATGGGTCTTGGATTGCAAAAGCTTCTCCCAGTTCCTGGGCTCTGTGTGTGTGTGTGTGTGTGTGTGTGTGTGTGTGTGTGTGTGTGTGTGTGTGTGGGTGTGTGTGTGTGTGTGGGTGTGGGTGGGTGATAGGGCTTCAGCAGCAGATGTATGTGGACGGGGGAAGCAGGCAGCTTGCACTTCCCAGCTGGCATGTACCCTGTGCAGAGGGAGGAGCTGTAACCCACGGGGCACAAACTAGAGAGCCCTGCAGGGACCCTTCCCCCAAACAGAAAGCTTAGGACTGCTACAGAGGCCGGAAGTTCCCAATAGGCTTCGAGAAAAGCTAACCTCCTCCTTAACTCTTTGTGGGTCAGCTTTAGAAGTGAGATGAGGGAGAGAGGGACAGACTGGGTAAGGATCCAGACCTCTTGTGTTAGCAAGTCTCCAGAGTCTGATAGGATAAATGATGTAACCCCAAGAGCGAAGCATGGTCTCCAGATAACCCACAAGTGTGGTGGAGAGGGAGGGTTTTGTGGGTAGTTTCTATCTATCTTTTTAGGAAAAGTAAACCCAGGTATAAATGATTGGTCTATGTTTGGCACATGCTGCTCAGAAAGTTTGGGGTTCAAAGTGTTAACACGAGAGACGTTTCTTTCCTGTGGGATCTCATAGGATTTATTGCTCACACATTACCCAAAGCCCTACATAGCTGACCTGGATGTAGCTGAGCCTAGCTCAGGGAGTGGGTAGATGGTTTTCACTATAAATTCTAAGGCAAGAAAGTATAAGAAAGAACCATAGAACTTGGAGTCAAGAAAACCTGGGTTTGAATCTCAGTTTTGTCACTTACCAGCTGTGTGAGCTTGGACAAATTATTTCTGCCTCTGGGCCTCAGTTTCCCTCCCTGCAAAATGGGGAGATTGGACAAAATGATTGCTAAGGTTCTTTACAGTGCTCATGGTCTATGAGCTTTGGCTCTTTTCAGTTCTGCCCAATAAGAGAAGAGGTAGTTGCTAGGGCACCTGATCTGGGCAGCTTTTTTTTTTCAGTCTGGCTCTGTTGTGTCCATCTCCTTGGACTCTCCACCTTGGAATAATAATCTCCAGATGTGTGGGCCATAATTCCCCCCACCCCCCAGTTAGGAAGGAGGTATCTATCGAAAATTATCTGCCAGTCAGTAATGCACCAATGCTATCAACTCCATCTCTAAGGGAGACTAGGAGAATCATAGGATCATAGTCAGCCAGAAAGGTGAACTTCCTGTCTAAGGTAAACAATGGTCCCTTGAACGGTTCAGTAATCAACTCGTGGTAAGGGATGGCTCAGGCACAGCAGAGTTTGGAAAGCAGTGTCCTAATGAATTAATGGTTTTGAAGCTAATCCTGCTTTTCCTTGCATATTAGCTGGAACATCAGGAAGGCTTCAACTCCAGCCCTGCTCCGAGTGCTGACTTGGGGAAACAGTGTTTTTCATAAATAATGTACAAATGGCTCATACCCTTCGCATTTAGATGGGATCTGTGTGGAATCCACTTAAAGTGGAGACTTTTTGCCCAGGCTTTCCTCCAGTCTCACTCTTTCCCAGGCAATGACACGCATTTCTTCTTGATGTGAGGTGAGGTTCACTTGTAGACCATCCCAGGATCTGCTAGAGGCCCCAAGAAATAGATGGGGCTTGGGACACACGCCCCTCACATGAAATGATGTAGAAATAGAAACAGGTCCATTATGTCACTGCCCACATGTGAAACCCCCCGAAAAAAAAAACCCTCTCTTTTCCCCAGACTTGGTGATCTCTAAGGTCCCTTCTAGCTCCAATAGGCCTTGGTTCTGTAATTCCTCCCCATACCCTCTTTTATGTAAACAAACTCCTCTCTTCTCTTCTCCTTTCCTCTCCTCCCTTCCTCTCTCCTTTCCTCTTCTTTCCCTTTCCCTCTCTTTTCACCTTCTCTCCCCTATCTTTTCCTCTCCTCTTCTCTCCCTCTCCTCTCTTTCTCTTCTCTCCTCTTCTTTCCTCTCTCTCTCTGTCCTCTCATCTTCTCTCCTCTCTTCCCTCTCTTCTCTCCTTTTCTTTCCCTCTTCCTCTCCTCTCCTGTCCTTCCCTCTTCTTTCCTCTTCTTTCCTTTCCCTCTCCTCTTTTTTCCTCTCCTCTCTCTCTCCTCCCTTCTACCTATCCTCCTCTTCTTTCTCTCTTCTCCTCTTCCTCCCCTATCCTCTTTCTCCACTCTCCTCTCACTCTCTTCTTGTTTTCATTCCTCTTCTCACCTCTTCCCTTTATCCTTGTCTCTCCTCTCATACACGTATCTTTCCCAGAATTTTCTCCACCTACTTGACCTCCATACCCTTCTCCTAAGGTAAATATTTCCTCCTCATTGCATTGCACACAGGAATCCATCCCTCAGACCCAAAGTCACCCCCTACAAATAAACTCACCCACACCCTGAAAAATGAGTCATCACACACACACACACACACACACACACACACACCACACACACACACTCCCCTGCTCCTCCACACATACATCTCTCTCTAATACACACATTCTATACACAGGCCCAGATTACTCATCCCACACACATCACACACACCCACAGTCAAAATTCAGATACACTTCAGGCACATGTGCACACGGGTGTGTGTGGTACGCATGCGCGCTCATGCGGGCACACATACACGCACACACCTGCCACACAGAGATATTTTTCACCCCATTAGCTGAAATACAGACACAGAAGCTTCCATTCAGGCATTAAACCTTGTCTGTTTCTGAAATATGCACATGAAGATATGTGGCTCCTATAAAACACTTTCCCCTAAAATACACCCCCTTTTCTTCAAAGCCATACTTCATCTTTCTCTCACCTCCACCTGTTAAAGCATCCTTTAAAGCCAACTCAGGTGCTACCACATCCAGTAAGATTTCTTTGATTTCTAAAGCCAGTAATAGCCTCTTCTTTCTCAAATGTTCCATAGAATGTTGTTTGTACCTTTCATGTGAATTTAATGTAATATTTCATATTATAGTTATTTCTGTCTTTCATATCACTCTGCTTGGCTATACCCTCCATAAGGGATGAAGCCTAAGCTGGTAAGTGTCTAGCATATAGCTCTGAACACAGCAGGAACTGAATTCATGTTTGTTGAATAAATACAGACACAATGTCCTTGAGGAGCCTCAAGTTAGTAATGAAATTATGTGATTTGACTTGATTTTAAATTAATGTTTGGACTGTTAATGTACTCTAAAGAAATCATAGCTCCTTGGAAACAGAGTAGCAAAAATTGAAACATTGGGGAAAATATTCGTGCTATGGTAGATTGCATTCATCAAAGTCTAGAGTCTGGAAGGAGGGAGGTGATAGTCACACTATGTGCCTGGACTGGTCAGATCCTATGTGTAGAGTTATTTTTAGTTTGGGTGCCACG